CAGCAGAGAGGGGCAGCCATTTTAATTTAAACGAAGCCGTGATTATTTAAATGGCAGCTTCATTTCCCTATGCCGGTAGCCTAATCTACATGTCTCTGACGACAGAGGCCTGTAGTCTAGACATACCCTGATAGAGGGGTGGGCAGCAGAGCAGGGTGTGAGGGGGGTAGGCAGGAGCCTGCACACACAGGAAGTGGCTTTCAAGCCGGCTCCCACAGAGCTGCCTGTTTTCTGCGCTGCAGCAGGCTGGAGCTAATGATCCCGTCTTAAAAGCTGGCTCCCCCCATGCACTGGCTCCCGCCTGCCCCCCGTGCGTAAACATGCAACCGCTAGACGTTCCAGCAGTTACAAGTTTACACAAGTAAATGATAGGGATGTTACCTAGCCAGCACCAGTGGAAAACTCACTACAACAAACAATAATACTCAGCATTTTATAGCACTGTTCCCCCAAGGGATCTCAAACCTCCTGCCAAAGCAGAGTAACTTCGCAAACACAGACAAAAGTGCTACACAGTCCTGTTTTTTGTTTCAGCTACACTAGACTAACACGGCTACATTTCTATCACAGACAGCCAGATATTCAGTGTTGCATATCACATGCAGTAGCACCCAATGACTGCAGGGGCTAAACATTTTCAGTAGGTGGTACCAGATCTCTCACTTGGGGGGGGGGGGGGGGTATGGGGACAGATTCTAGACAGCGACACGAGAGATTTCCTTTGGGAACATGCCACCTGGGGAGGCTGGGACCGCCCCTTTGCTTTCTACACCCAAAGCCACCATTCAGTGATCTGCGCTCTTGTGACGTGCAGTGCATCAGAAAGCCAAACAGGTACATAGGTAAGGCACAACATTTCTGTACAACTGTTAGCAAAAAGGATCCTAATGCCACCAGCTGACATCTGTGGTAACAACGTTTTCAATTTGTGTTACAGCCGAGCCAGAGCGTCACTTACACTCTGGAACAAACTATAATGGAGCAGAGGGATTGATGTTTACACTCCCGTTACCAAAGATCATATGTTTCTTGCAAAGCAGGGTGGTAGTGAGAGCTACACCGAAGGGGGTAAGCCAGAGCCTGGAGGCAGCATTGCACAGTGGACAGTGCTGGTTTCTTACCCCAGCTCTGCCACTGATTTCCTATTAAGCCTTGGGCAAGTCATTTCACCTCTTTGCCACCATTTCCCCTCATACTGTGCATCTGCTTTTCCAGTTAAGACTAAAGTTCCCCTGGGCAGGGGCTGTCTGTCTGTGTAGCACCTAGTAGCATGGGGCCATGATCTCTTTTGGGAGGTCAAGGCACTATGATCATAAATAATAAACAGTATCATCTCAGGCTTGACTTGAATTTTATTACAAAGGGTTCAATGAGACCATAGTAAAAAAAAAATCACCAAAGCACAGTTGTGAGAAAACTGGCAATTTCCTGGGGAAGACGAGAGCTTCTGGACCCGAAAGACAGGGTGGCGGGGTGCCCCAGAGGGCAGCAAAGCCGGCTCTGTGGAACGGAGCACACCGGGTGGCAGTCCCAAAGAGACTTCTGTGATTGAACCCATCTCAACCTTCTGCATGCCAATGTACTTCCAGACTGCCGCACAGCCTGGCTTCCCCAAACACAGCCTCTCTCCTTCATAATACAGTTCCCTAAATAGCACCACTATACTACCCCTCACATCTCATTTACTCCCAAGCAAGCACCCTGGGACCCAGTCGCTCCGGTGGCCTCTCCTCCAGATCACCATCTCTTCTCACCCCCATGCAAGCCCCACCCCAGATCCTACCCCCCCAAATGTTCCAGGACACAGGTTCTCCCCCCATTCCAGATCTCGCCCCTTTCACAACTCAGTTTCCCCACTCTGGGCCAGCCCATTAGTCCTGCACCTCTCCCAGGCTGTGGCAACCCCCCCGCCCCAATACTCTTGGT